CAAGAATGGGGCTCATCCAACCAGACACGCAAACGCAGCGGCGGTAAGTGCCTCGCGAGACAATGTTGACTGCCACCCGAAACGAGCGAATCGACAATTACAGTCCGCAGCTAACGGGAAAGATATCCACCGAATGCCACAACGTCGGAGCTGTCGATCAACGCATCTCGCGCCGCGATCGGATTAAACCAGTCGGAATGGCACGCGGAAGAAGAGGCAACGTACGTGCCAAGTGCGGACCAAAACCAACAAGAAATGACCCACAGAAAGAGGCATGAATTATCCCGCCGCGCGGTTGAGAATTAACTGTATATAATCGAACGCATACACCGTTTGCTTTTGAATTGGATCAATAGACGTTTTTACCAACCAGCTCCCCTTTTCGCTACAATAAGACATGAGCCACCTCAAAACCCCACTACAAAACATATGCCGAAGCGAACGCAATGAGGAACAAGTTGTGGGGTATTCTATTTAGTTCGCTAATTCTCATTGATATTCAATATTAAAACATTTTCGACCCAATCAAAAATTATTGACAGTGCGTCTTTATTGAGGACGGGGCACGAAGATGAGATGAACAAGAAAGGATACCGTATCGGCTACGATGGAGTGATAATAATAGTTAAGATTCGAAAAGGTCCTCGCACCTCATGGTCGAACACAATATCTCCTCCGCGCACTCTCTATCTACCTACACCCTAATAGAGCCTGTAGTGAGAAAGGATGATTAAACTGTACAAGATCAATAAACATAGTATTGAAAAGCCGCGCAGCCTGTATAGGTTGACGGTCTATAGAACGAGAGTATCACCGTACGAATCTGGGTCATTTCTGTCAGGTCAGGTGAGGAAACACACTGATTGGTCTGTAGTGCGAAGACACACACTGCCTCTAATCGTGCTAATCTTGGCAATTTTCAGTCTCACAATCGATTATGTACGCACCGATTCCAAACGAACCCGCGAGTGTTCGCCTGCAGGTCTGTTCCGGTCGACAACTGGCGTTACGTGAATGAATTCGTCGGGTCAAGCAAGCCGTCAAACGGTGCACGGGAGTGCCGTTCCGCGGTGTGAATATGTGCGCTTCAGGTGTCAGTGCTGTCAAATTATTCGCAAATCTTGCCCTTGTGCAATCAACCGAACACAGAATAGTACTGTAGTTCCAAAAGCATGAGGGAGAACTAGAAATTATTGATGAGCTAGCTAAATTGATTAGTTTGAAAAGTTGCTTAAAATTTACAACAAAATACACAAGCAAGAGAACTTGTTCACGTCAACCCCTTTTAATTTCTAGAGCAAGCACAACTCGCATTTCGATCAGCTGGATTTGATAATCATGGGGATGGGGGTGGTTCACCTGTCAAGGGTAGACGGTTCAATGGAGCCAGTGATCGGTCCAGATTAGGAAGGTGACATAGGGGAATAAAGTCTTTGCGAAGTCCAACCAATGGATAAAATGATTATTTTTTTCTACTCAAAACTGTTTATTATTGGAGTAATTTTCTTTGCAACTTAAATCTTTTTCGTGTGTCACCTGGGTTTTTTCCGTCTACTCCCACTTTCTAAACGCTGATTAGTCCATTCTGAAAATTTTTCCATTTTTGCATCAATTCTTAAGATCTCTATGTCCATAGACCGAAACAGTATGTGTGCGTGTGAGCAGATGAGTGGATACTATAAATCCGATTTGCTTTTCGTTTATCAAGTGCATGTTGGTTGCCCGCACCCGGGATTCTCACTTCCGTAGCTGGGGGAAGGGTACCACAGTGCTAGTGGCGTGCATTCTGTGCTGTGATCGTGATTTGGGGGCTAGACAACTCCCGTGGCTATTGAGGGGCTTGCTCTGTGGTGTTCAGGTTC